CTGAATTTCAGTAAAGAAGATATTTTAAGCTGCCTTGAATCCCATTTTGGGAGCAAGATGGGCTATAAACCCAATTTGTTGTTGCATGCCTTCATGTCCATTCTGACTTATGGTGAACCAAAGGTGAGCCCATCATGGGGTTTTCTTGAACATTTGTTCAGAGGAGGTTTACCATTGGCTACCCCTGAGGCTAAGAGCATGTAACTTGCCCAAGGTCAACCAGTGGGTTTCATGACCAAGCTGGGAATCAAACCCTGGTCTCCAGAATTGTAGCCTACCACTTCAACCACTACGCCAAGCTGTCTGTCTGATGTAAAACACATTTTTAAAATAACATATAAATAAAATATTATATAAATATTTATAAATATATGTAAATATTAATATAAATAAATATAAATAATTTAAATATAATACAATATAAAATATAACATAAATATGTGTTTTGAATTCTAAAAATAGAATGTTTTGATTGTAAAAATATTTTTAAGCCTATCACTTTTGTAAGAAAGCAGTCAAGCACACTTCGATCTTTATTATTGACATGGTGGCATGATATTCAAACTTTGTTTTGTGCAATCGTACAACAACCCTGCAGTGTCAGCATTGATCTTTTGTGAACTGTGAACTAAAGTTGGATTTATCACTGTGCTGATTCTAGTCTGGAAAACACATTTTTTTTTTTTTAGAAAAAGACACTGAGTGACATTTATATTCCTATACTACTCCAAAATATATTATTGGTTTTAAATTGGTTTTAAAACTGACAGTAGTAACTTTGAAAACATCTTTGAAATGAAGAATTATAAAAACTTACTTTCTTCTGTCCTTTGCAGTGATATTTATTTTGGCAGATTAATTTCACAGCTGCATTCTTGAATCATATCAAAAACTATGCAGCTCCTTTTCATAATTCAGTCACTCACTCTTCCATGAAATATATTTCAGAATTCAGAGCTTGATCTGTACTCATAACTTAATGGGACTGGATACTGAAACAAGCTTGGTTCCTCTACCCTTGTCTCTTTGTAGAAGGACTGATTGTTCCTTGCCTTATGCTTGTCACTGTGCATTTAGCTAGGATTCCCTAGTTTACCATTGTAAACAACAGTGCCGTCTAGAAGGCAGAACAACATCAGCATTCCTCTTATCAACTAGTATTCAGTGTGGCAGTTACAGATTCATAGCATACAGTTATGGATACATAAAAAGTATGTATTCAATAAGAATATAAATGCCACTCCAGTTCACCTTAACAGCCAGCCACCAGATCAGGCAAAGGAGATTCATTTAGCTTCCAGTTGGTTTTTACCTCAATCTTGTCAGCAAGTGAGCTTGTAGCAACCAGAAGCAGGACTCCTGTTACAACTCCTTATTTCAGCTTCACTAGTTCAGGGAAGAAATTAAAAACATCATCCTTCTTGAGCTTTGATCAGAAGTTGAACAAACCTGCTTCACCTGCTTGGATTTAAGGGCTGGGTGTGGGTTGGGCCAGGAGATGTTGCTTTATTACGGAGATATAACTACAGAGCCAAGCTAGGAGTCTGGCAATCATAAGTTTTTGACTTTCAGGAAATTTATATTACAGGAGAATAAACACATGAGTTCATTATTGTTTTTATATTTATTAAGGGAAACAATTAGCTTACACATGGAATCTCAAGTTTGTCATTCCAGAGTCATACCTTGCAGGTGGACTGGTTAAATTGGATTCCAAATCTAGTAGATAGGTTGGGTGCTTGATTCTCATCAGTTGGCAGGCAGGCTGACTGATACTTGAATGCAGGCTAATGTTGTGGCCAAGCCTCTGCAACTGTAACCAATAAAACTGGTCTCTTTTATTCCAACAAATATAATTTGTGTCACTATTGCTAAGCAGAGCATCTGTCATTGCTGAACCACAAGGAGCATTTCACATACTTGTAAGGCACATGTTATTTTTAGTACATAAACATACTTCTTATAGTATATTTCAGTGATGAGAAACATTGTACATGATATTTGAAGTTATTGTTGTGGTGTGCCTTCAAGTCATTTCTGACTTAGGGCTATCCTAAGGCATGGGGTAGCCATAATCATGGGATTTTCTTGGCAGGTTTCTTCAGATTGGGGTGGTGGTGTTGCCATTACCAAGAGATTGACTTGGGCATGGTCTTAAATAGGTAGTCACTGGCTAATTTGGGAGACAGGTTGTAGGATTTTTGGTGAGCACCTATGGCACCCTTTTCGAGAGAAGGTCACCATATTTTCTGGCGTATAAGACGACTGG